CTGGGCGCCGCCATCTTGTTTTGATGAAAAAGTGCTTCCGGTGAGCTCACTGGAAGCACTTTTTCATCAAAACAAGATGGCGGCGCCCAGCTTATGCCAGTACCGGGCCGCACCATAAAAAAGGTTGGGGATACCGGGCCGCGGCATAAAAAAGGTTGGGGATCACTGCTTTAGAGCAGGAGTGTCAAACTCAATTCCATTGAGGGCCGCATCAGGGTTGTGTTTGACCTTGGGGGGCAGGGTGGGTGGCAAGCGTGGGTGTGGCCAGCTTGATGTCACTCATGTCAGGTGAGGTGCCTGTGGTGGCTTGAGTGCTCTGCCAGCAATAAACGGGCTCCCAAAGCAGCCCTTTGCCACTGAAAATGGAGCTGAGGGGGGGCAGCCCTTCTGGGCCCATTGTTGGCCATGACAGACTCCTGCAGCCTTCTGCCAGTGCCCCCCCCCCCACTTCATTTTCACTGGCAGAGGCACCACGGGCCGGTCCTTCATTGTTTCCAGGGTGGTCCCATGGGCCAGATCTAAGCTCCTAATGGGACAGCCATTAGGAGCCCCCTGCTTTAGAGGCTGGGGAATGGAGGGAGACAGAGGGAGATTAGCATCACCGACCATGTTTTAACTCGGGGAGGTGAAGTTACTTGTTGTGTAGCCCTTGCGTTATGATATTGAGATTTAAGAGCTGACCAGTTGCTGTAAGGCTGATCCAATGTTAAGGCTGGTGCAATTAGGATGAATCAGCATAGCATGGGTATTGCCCTTTTAAGATGAAGAATGGGTCCGCAGAAGTCTTTACCATTTTAAGAGGTGTCTATATAAAGGCAACCATTAGAGGACGTGTTCTCTCTCCTTGTATCCTGTCTCCATTGTAGAGTTCTCCATGCAGAGTTAAGAAGATTGATTGCTTGCCAGGTATTTGCTTACCACGTATATTTCTGTATAAGTCTTGAATATAAACCACTGTTAAATGTCTGTGTGCTGTGTTTTGCTCCTGGGTTGTCTCACAATAATAGTCACACTGCGAACGCTCTGACACCTTGGTCATTCAGATCTTAGGCAGTTGAGGGTAGGTTGTGTTGAGTGGGGAAGTTGTTTCAGAAACTGGAGGATGATGGGATGGAAATGTCCCAGTTTTAGACTGCAAAGAGCAGAAGAATTTCAGCTGGGGGAAAAAATGACCGGAACCAGAGGTGGTATTCAGCAGGTTCTGACCAGTTCTGAAGAACCAGTAGCGGAAATTTTGAGTAGTATGGAGAACCGGCAAATACCACCTCTGACTGGAGATATTACAGTATCCTTCCCCTGCCATGCCCACCAAGCCACACCCACAGAACCAGTAGTAAAATATTTTGAATCCTGAATAACTATTCAGACAGTCCTCAATTTACAGTGGTTCATTTAGGAACAGTTCAAAGATAAAACAACACTGAAAAAAGTTTTTCATACTTATGACCGTTGCAGCCTCCCCATGGTTACATGATAAAATCCAGATGCTTGGCAACTGACTCATATTTATGATGGTTTCAGTATTCCCAGATCATGCGATCCCCTTTTGTGATCTTCTGACAAACAGGGTATCAACTCATAAAACATTCTATACATTATAGTTGCCAACAGAAAGTGGGGAAAGGATAAAGCAGTGTAGCATTTGGAATCGAAAGTGCATTCCATTCATATTTTTCCAGAGATTGTAACTAGGTGACTGAAGTTTCTGCAGGGCAAAAATCTACTTGGAGAATATGATTGAGGACTCTTGGCTATGGACGTGTTTTGTTGGAGAATATGAATTACGATACACCCAGAGGGGTGGGGGAAAACCAGGGTCAAGGGTGACAGTGAAGTACGTGTTATTCAGAGTTTTGCAGCGTTACTTCAGCACCAGAAAAATCAAACTCAGACAGAAATAGACATGTTACAAG